GTGCGTTGTTTATGTCTCTCTTTTCGACTTGCCGGTGGAAAGGAACCGGACTGTTGCTCCCCAGAATGGCAGGAGCCAGAACCTCGAGGTTCTGTTTTCTTTGGCGAGCCTCATTTCGGACAGATTGCTCATTCGCAAGAAGTGTGGAAGTGTGCTGCTGAGGCGCTTGTGCGTTATCTGTGAGCAGCTAGCGCTGGGGCCCTGGTTCAGAGAGAGTGAGGGAGTCACCTACCTGGATGAGCACGCTGGAATTGGGTTGCTGAACTCTGCGCTGATGACTGCTGGTGACTGGAACTCTGAATCTGTTTTATAAATTTATATCATAATTCGTTGTTGTTGTTTTTTTTTTTTTTTTTTTTTTTTTTGAAAGGACGAGGGCCTTGAGATATCATCATTAAGCTGACCGCCCCCAGGTAATTCAGAAATAGGTGGTTTTACAACTTTTACTCATCAATCACGTTCCATCGTTATCTGGATTCGAACTCTGGTATGTATTTTCAACAGTTCATGGGTGTGGTCCCCACTGAGATAGGCTCTTGGGTGATTCGTTGTAATTTCTAAGCTGTGCGCTAATCTGGATTTTGCATCTCTGGTCTCCAGTGTGGATTTCGTGTGATCTCGCGATGTGTGTGTGTTTGTGTGTGCTCAAGGCGACGAGTGGTGTGGCTCGATGCATAATCTTTGCCTGGTATTATTAGTAATTTATTGCTCTTTTTTTAAAATTATTAGCAGCTCAACTTTTGTGCTACAGCAGAACAAAGAACGGGATGTTGGCGAAGTAAAGGCCAAGGCGTTGGGCTGTCTGTCGTGAGTCTCACCACGGGGCCACAATTTAATAAGATGGCTGGCGTGCAGTCGAGCTAGCCGCAAATCCCTACTCCCGAGCAGCAGGCGTATGCAAATGCTGCCGCACGCCGTTTGGAGATACAAGCACAGTTGCGAGAGGCTGAAAGGCGAGAAAGAATAGTGCCGAACAGGAAAAACTTGTTGGACAATAGCTAGGCGGATAAGGAGGCATTGGAGAGGTGGATGAAAGTCGTCTGTAGGACACTGACAGATTGCTTGGACGGAATATGATGGCCCCTCATGAGGCGGTACTGTCCATAGAGAGCAAGTTAGACTCCATGCACTCCTCTTTGGGCCGGATAGTGATGATGCTGATACAAATGACGAGAAGACAGGTTTCGATCGTTATGGTCATGCCTCTATGTCCACCTCCGATGGCACTGCCAGCAGTATGAAAGCAGTTTGTTCCCCAGTACGGTGTAGTTCCACCTGGCGGTGTAGGTGCACGGGTCCTTCTCAGACGCAGGGGCAGTCTCTTTCATCGCCGGTGTCTGCAGCAGAAGGCAGTTTGTTCCCCAGTTCGGTGTAGTTCCACCTGGCGGTGTAGGTGCACGGGTCCTTCTCAGACGCAGGTGCAGTCTCTTTCATCCCCGGTGTCTGCAGCAGGCAGATAAGGAGGCATTAGAGAGGGTGCATGAGAGCAGTCTGCAGGACACTGACAGATTGCTTAGACAGAATGTGTTGGGCCTACATGAGGCTGTACTGTCTGTAGAGAGCCAGTTAGACTCCATGCAGTCCTCTTTGGACTGGATTGTGATGATGCTGAGACAGATGACATGAAGACAGGTTTCCACCAGTAGGATCGTTACAATAGGGCCACCTCCGATGACACGGCCGCCAATATCAAGGCAGCTTGTTCCCCAGGACGGTAGAGTTCGACCCGGTCCACCCATCGCTGCGAGTTCTGCTCAACTCTGAGGGGATAGGTTCAACCCATAACCCTTAGTGTAGCTGGCTTGTGATCCATGGATGAAGAGTGTATCATTCCAGGCTAGGTAGGTAGGTAGTGGGAGGCATCTCGGGAGAAGAATATAGGTTAGTTTTTTGTGAAGAAAAACGAAAACGAAAACAAAAAAATAAATAAAAAATGGGGACAATGTACAGCAGTGTAGCACAGCGGAAGGCTCAAATAATGATCTGACCCAAACAGATTCAGGACTACGCACACGCAAACATCATCACACATGTAGAGATACAAGGAGGGGTTACATCCATCGACGGACGATCCCTTCTTGCTTGCACACACATGGGGAGAAGAACCACGGATGAGGGAGGTGGGGAAGAGGCGAAGGTGGAAGAGAAATGAGCAATATGATCTCCCAACAATGTCCAACAATCGTCGCCACCGAGTTGTCAAGTCTCAGCCCTTGGCGTCATACAGAAGGAAATAGGCTCTCTCTCAACTTTCTCCTTCTCTCTAGAGCACAAGGAGGGAGGTTGTGGCTATGAGTGTCAGAGGAAGAACCAGGTACAAGAAGAAGAAGAAGCTCTCTCTCTCTCTCTCTCTCTCTCTCTCTCTCTCTCTCTCTCTCTCTCTCTCTCTCTCTCTCTCTCTCTCTCTCTCTCTCCTTCTGCCTCTCTCTCTCTCTCTCTCTCTCTCTCTCTCTCTCTCTCTCTCTCTCTCTCTCTCTCTCTCTCTCTCTCTCTCTCTCTCTCTCTCTCTCTCTCTCTCTCTCCTGCTGCTGCTGCTGATGATGTCCAGAATACTGACCAGTGAAGATGATGACTTGAGCTGATGCAGGTCGCTGATGTCCGGTCCCAGACCAGTGTGAAGTCTCAGCTATGGCACCCAGGTAAGTCTGTCTCCCTCTTGTGGTTATGGACACCTCTTCTCTCACCTCTCCTGCCTACACTCCTACTCTATGCTGCTAATTATTACGCAGCTCTTGGGGATTAGCGCTGCACTCCAGCAGCGTGTTGCCGGAATAGAGCTCTGGCACTCTCTCTCAAATATGAGGACTGGCCCAGGTAGATATCGCTGGGCCAGGCTGTGCTGGACTCGGTCCGCAATCAGGACCATTCGATATTAAGTCCGGTCAATAGTCCTGATCGTAGGGCCGAGTCCTGGTCCTACATCCTGGCATAACCCGGCTTGCCTGAGTCCCTACTGGATGTGCAGGTGCCCACGCTGATGCAGTAGGGCTAGTCCTAGAAGGGACGAGGACTGGGCCAGGCACTACAGACAAATTGCGAGTCCAGTTCGCTTACTGATGAAAAATGAACCAGGGGCCAAGTCCCACTTACGCCGATCCTTTCTGGTCGTTGATCTGCCAAATCTGCAGTAAGAAATTGATCAATTGATCATTCGGGTAAGTGGGACTTGGCCGCAGGTTCCTTTTTTGGGCAAAACGTCGCCTGCTGGTCCCCACAGGTTCCTTTTTCGGACAAAAGGAAAATCTTAGACGTCACACCTGGGCAGACAAAACAGACCGGACAAAAACAAATCACTCCAAACAAAAATCAACATCAGAAAAATAAAGAAATGCTGAAAAATAAAATTACAAAAGGAACAAAAACAAGACCAAGGCCTAGAAACAGGGCTGTGGGCCTCCAGCCCGCCCAAACTAAGGGGCGCAGGGCCTGGGGGCTGGTAGGCAAAACTAGAGTAGCGAGTAGCTGTAGGGTCAGTTATGCAAATTTGGAATTGGTGGCGACACCAAGCCACATTGATACGGTCGGTGAAGGTGCCCAAGAATAAGGAGGTGGAGGTAAGAGGAGACAGATATTGGCGAGTCTGGTGCTTGGTGTCGATCCGTGCCAATCGAGACAGATATGAGAGGGGGGGAAATACGGAGAACCACAAAATTTTGAGAATGTAACTAAATAGTAAATACCCCGCCCAACTGGCTGAATGGTATACTGATGAACTGTTAAATTGTTAATGAACAGACATAAGTTCGAATCCAGATGGAATCAGATGCATTAAATAGCTGTGAATTACCTGGCAAAATACCCAGCCCAACTGGCTGAATGGTACACTGATGAGTTGTTAATGAACAGACATGCGTTCGAATCCAGATGGAAGCAGATGCATTAAATAGCTGGGAAGTACGTGGCATAATACCCAGCCCAACTGGCTGAATGGTACACTGATGAGCTGTTAATGAACAGACATGAGTTCGAATCCAGATGGAATCAGATGCATTAAATAGCTGTGAATTACCTGGCAGCTGTCAGGTTCGATGACGATATCTCAAGGCCGGTGCCCCTCTCTAAGGGGAAAATAAAAATAAAGTGACAGAAGTTGTTTTTTTTTCAGCAAGTTTGAGAATTGCTCAATCGTACGTCTGTCAGTCAAATGAAGTATGAGAATTGAAAACCACGGGAAACCGCAAAATTAGAAGTGCAGAATAAATGACAGTAATGGACGATTTTCCGCTGACAACGATGAGCTGTGTAGCACACCGAACATGTTTGGGTGTTCGACCGAACGTCTCCCAAATGTGTTCGGTCGAACATTTTTTTTTAATGATTCTTTTAAATCTTTTTTTTTTTTTAATAAAGGTTTTTGATTTTTTAACTCGAGTTTGGTTACGAATTTGAACATACCTCCCATGCAAAAGTTGTTTGTATTATCATTCTAGTATGATTCTACTTGTCCGCGTCCGGAGTGTTTTGATGCTCGTTTGCATTTGGTCGCGAATGATCGGGTTCGGTCACCGAATGCGAACACGATGCTACACAGACGATGAAGAAGATGAGGAGCAGGCAACTCTTTAGTGTGATGCTTTCGGCAGAGATTCCGGAGGAAGGCAATGGTGAGGGGAGGAGGAGGAGGTGGAGGAGGAAGAGCATGAGGAGGAGGAGGAGAACGAGGAGCAATCGTGGGGATCAAGAATAACAGGAAGAGGAGGGGATGGTGGGGGAAGAGAGGGTTTGGAACTGTGTGTGTGTGTGTGTGTGTGTGTGTGTGTGTGTGTGTGAGAGAGAGAGAGAGAGAGAGAGAGAGAGAGAGAGAGAGAGAGAGAGAGAGAGTCATTTGCTGATTGTATCTGCAGCCTTCCGGGGATTTATGGCACGGATTTCTGTGCTGGCAATTCGGGAGCGCCTTCTGCATCTTGTCCTGCATGCGCAGTCTCTCAACACGCATGCAGAGAAATGTTGATGTCCAGGCATGTCACACTTTTTCATATACTCAATCACGAGTGTTTGGGGAGGTGTTTACGTGTTTATTTTCAGAACTGGGTGTGAGTAAGGAGGTGTAGGGAGAGGGTGGTTGGATGGGGGGGAGCAGGAGGAGGAGGAGGAGGGCGGGGGGGGAGGGGAGATGAGAGGAGGAAGGGCGAGGGGTGTCATTTAGTCGCTGGCGATGAATCTCACCATCCATCTTGGTTATGGTATCTTGTTGCCTGTCGTTTCGATACTAATGCAAGGTATGCTTTGCAAGCAGGCGTTCCCTGTATGGCAAAGAACAGAATTTAGGGAGAAAGTTAAAGGTAGGCAACAAAATTCATTCTCCTAGAAGCCCCAAAGGTTTGTCTAGATTATGAAAAGCTGTCTGGACGTAACCAGATGTTTTAAACGTTTGTTGCCATCAACGGATTTTGAATCTTTGGTTAATGGTAGACCAACAGATGGGCAGGTTGGGCAGGGGGGTGACTGAACTGAATATTGCGGAAGCCTACCAGGTATGTAAACCATACCTGCAAAATATCGAAATCCACTTCCTTCCTCCACCTGCAGGGAAGGGGGGTGAGGCGGGGTAGGGAGGGGAG